GTTGGCTTTCCTGCTCCACCAGACACCTGAGCATGTCCGTTTGCTCCCTCATTAGCCTCAGCATTGCATCCTGCCTCTTCTCATCACGCTCACTTAATGCCTTCCTGGACTCTGCCACTGAATGCCTCCATGCATTCAGCTGTGCCCTATCAGTGCGGGAGGACTGCATGAGCTCGGAAAACATGTAATCACGAGTGGGTTTTTTTCACCTTCTAATCTGCGATAACCTCAGGGACGGAGATGATAGGGGGAGCATAGAAACATTTGCACCTGCGGAAAATGGAGAGTAAAATTTAAAATGATACATTTCTGAGAACAAAAGGGAGACTCTTTCACAGTGAATCAAGCAATTCACAGCAGACAGCACATGTGCTTTAGGTACAAGGTTGCATTTTGCCTTTTATAGTGAGCGCCTGCCGGTATGGTGACACATCACACACAGCTGGGCAACAGAATTCTGTTTCCAGGCAGCCATGGTAAGCCAAAGAGTATGCGGGTTTGGCTTCTAACACCTTCATAACGTGTGGGAATGTTTTCAAACCGCAGCACCCTCCTTTCCCATAGCAAGCAATGCCGGTTGGGTTTGCCATTTAAAAGGAGGGGCTGCGGTTTTCGGTGGATGTGCAGCACACCCCTCCCCCCACCCCTCCGCATGGCTATTTGGGATGATCCCTTCACCCCTCCCCCCACCACGTGGCTATTCTCAGGGATGATCCCTTTTAGCCAAGCGCAAACAGCCCAGCATGAATGGGGTCCTTTTACTGTTCCCTTACAAAAATTCCCCTATTTCAACTGGATGACCATGAATGATATCACTCTCCTGAGGCTGACACAGAAAGATATAGACCAAATGTTCCTTGAATGCGACCAAAACCCAGGACCATTCGCTGCCATGCTTTGTGCTGCAATGATTCCAGACTGCTTGCTACTGGCTTGGCGTGGTAAAGTGTCCTACTGTGGAGGATGAAATAAGGCAGCCCTCCCCAGAAACCTTCTGCAAAAGCTTTCAGAGTACCTCCAGGAGAGCGTCATGGAGATGTCCCTGGAGGATTCCCGCTCCATCCCCAGACACGTTAACAAACTTTTCCGGTAGCTGTACTGGCCATGAATGCATCCCAAGTCTTCAGGGCAAATCAAACATTAAACACTATTGCTTTTAAACCCTGTAGTGTAGTTAAAAATGTGCACTCACCAGAGGGGCCTTTTCCACCTTCAGGATCTGGGATCCCACCTTGGGAGGGTATTCGCTCCAGGCAGTCCTGGCTGCCGGGGAGAACGAATTCACTGCTTGCCTGCTGCGCATTCTCCTCCTCCTCCTTCTCCTCTTCCTCATCCACAAAATCCTCCTCTGAGTTGCGTGAGACTCCCCCCTTGCAGGTGTCCACGGACAGTGGTGGGGTAGTGGTAGGGTCCCCCCCTACAATGCCATGCAGCTGATCATAGAAGCGGCAGGTATGGGGCTTTGACCCGGAGTGACCGTTTGCCTCCTTTGTCTTTTGGTAGGCTTGCCTGAGCTCCTTGACTTTCACGCGGCACTGCTATGTGTCCCTGTTGTAGCCTCTGTCCATCATGCCCTGTGCGATTTTGGCATATATATTAGCATTTCTTCTTTTTGATCGGAGTTCTGCCTGCACAGATGCTTCTCCCCATACAGCAATCAGATCCATTGTCTCCCTTTTGCTCCATGCTGGAGCTCGTTTGCGATTCTGGGGGGACTGCATGGTCACCTGTGTTGCTGAGTTTGCCACGCTGACCAAACAGGAAATGAAATTCAAAAGTTCCCGGGGCTTTTCCTGTGTACCTGGCCAGTGCATCGGAGTTGAAAGTGTTGTCCAGAGCAGTCACATTGGAGCACTCTGGGATAGCTCCCGGAGGCCAATAACGTCGATTTGCGTCTGCACTACCCCAAATTCGATCCAGCAAAGTCGATTTTAGCGCTACTCCCCTCGCCAGGGAGGAGTACAGAAGTCGATTTTAAGAGCCCTTTAGGTCGACGGAACGGGATTGCTTGTGTAGACACATTCATTATAAAATCGACCTAAAGCGGCTAAATTCGACCTAACCCTGTAGTGTAGACCAGTGCCTAGTGGGGAAACAGCCATGGAGAGGAGTATCTCACAGTCAGTTAACAGCCTTTCATCTCCAAGCAGTTGGAGTCAATCTGATTTAGGTCAAAAGTCAAATGATTCTGGAGGGCTCATCCTAGTCCATTGTGATATTCATTCACAAGCACCACTCACTTTGATGCTCTCTAATCAGGAGTTGTCTGAGCCTGGAATAAATAGTAAGGCGGTACAGATCCTTGGATTTACTAGACCACTAGTGAAGTACCTGCCTGTGTAACGCCGACTGACCCCGGTCATCAGCGGGCCAGATCGAACCAGCGACCTCTGGAGCTTAGTGCATGAGCCGCTACAAAAGGAGCTAAAAGCAAACTGGCTCTTAGCTAAGGCTGTAGAGCAGACTCATTTAACTCTCTCTCTAAGTGGTCTCGGTGCCACTAGATGGGACAGAACACCACACCCTGGAGGTGTGTGGGTTACACCTGCACTGTATCTGGCTCTAGGCAGGGGGGATTGATTTAAATCAAAGCGATTTAAATCACCGAGTGGGAAGCCTATATTTAAATCTATTTTAATCAGCCTTTTCATTTGTACTTCAGTTATTTCTAAAGAAAGGTGCACACTCATTGGTTGATATAACCATTAAAATACGTTGATTTACAACTAAATAGAGCCTTGACGCTATATTTGGTACATCTTTTTGCTATCTAGGAGGGTACACTATAACTATGTACATTTATTTAAGCAACTATATAGCTTAATATTTTCAGATTCTTATAAACTGTACATTTTTAGTATGTCAGAAAATGGTGAATGAGATATTGCTTATTTACTAACTGAGGCTTGCCACTCAGTGATTTAAATCGCTTTGATTTAAATCAATCCCCCCTGTCTAGAACCAGATACAGTGCAGGCAGGTATTTCACTAGTGGTCTAGTAAATCCAAGGATCTGTAACCGCCTTACAGGCTCAGACAACTCCTGATTAGAGACAGCCAAAGTGAGTGGTGCTTGTGAACGAATTTCACAATGGACTAGGATGAACCCTCCAGAATCATTTGACTTTTGGCCTAAATCAGATTGACTCCAACTGCTTGGAGATGAAAGGCTGTTAACTGACTGTGAGATACTTATACTAGATAATTAACTTTTTGTGCATGATTTGCCTCAAGCTGCATTAGGATGGGTAACTGGAATTTAATTAAACACACACAACAGCATGTGAAGTTTATTTGTATTAAAACAACCTTACATGTTTTGGATACCTATCAAAACATGTTTCACATTTACAGTTAAATGATTTCTTAAACAGAGGAATTAACTGTATTTTTGTTATTTAAATCGGATTTATTTTGTTTAAATTATAATATATTTTCCTAAATAACAGTTTTAAAAAGAAAAGCTTATAACAAATAAAAAAATCCAACTTAATTTAAAAAAATCAGATTTTTTTTTAATTTTTAAAAAACTCCGATTTTTATCCACCCTCCTTCTAGACCAGCACTTTCACAGGTGGTCACTTTAATTTTGGTTGTAACAAATGGGTTTGATTGTTTCTGTCTGGTGCACTCCCCATTCTCACATCTTTTCAGATAGGGGAAGGAATTGCAAAGCTTTAGGCGAGAAGCTTTATGGTGAAATTTGCTATGGTTATCAATCTAATAGCAGTAGCTGAAAGAACTAAAAAAACAAAAACAACAAAACACAAGCAAACACCCCTCCCCCCCCCCCCCCCCGCAAA